AGGGAGGAGAGGGAGGAGAGGGAGGAGAGGGAGGAGAGGGAGGAGAGAGGGAGTAGAGGGAGAGGGAGGAGAGGGGGAGGGAGGAGAGGGAGTGGGAGGGGACAGGATACTCTTAGAGAGTGAGATGAGAAGGGGAACTGCACAATGAGGAGGATGGATACATGTTAGTGATGGGAACTAAAGGTCAAGGCGCCTTCTAAACACATAGGAAAATGTTATCATGAAACCTACTATTTTGCCCCTCACTACATGCTAATAAGAGCATGCATAACTACCTCATAGCTCATTTAAATTTTAATGTATGCTTTTTTCTTTTTAAAAAATGATTTATTATGTTCATTGGTGCTTTGCTTGCATATGTAACTGTGTGAGAGTGTCAAATCACTTGGAATTGGATTACAGACAGTTGTGAGTTGTCAAGTTGGTGATGAGAATTGAACCCAGGTCCTCTGGAACAGCACCCAGTGCTCTTAACAGAAGAGCTATCTCCAGTCCCTTAATGTATGCTTAATCAAGATAAATGACTGATATATCAGGAGAGTACCAAGGTGAATTTGAACAGCGGAATCAATAAGGTCGCTTGTTCACCGAGTGACACATAAGAAGTTATGAAATCTTTGAATACACCGGCTTGCAGTGATGCAGAAATCACTGATACTCTAAGGAGTGGAAAATGTCCGCGGTGTAATCTGTAAAACCGGAGTTCTCTGTCTCTTTGGAGGACTTCAATGTTTATGCCTAATGGAGTTCCCCTGTGGTTTGTTTTCCTTGAAGGAAAAGGGCTACATCTCCCCTGATGGAGAGCAGCTGTCGGACCGAACCTGGGGGTGAATATAAGCCTCAGTTAAGTATAATAGGAAAAGAGAGAGGGAATCAAAAAGAACGGTGTTAAGTAAAATTAATAAGCATAGAAATTTTATTATTTTATATTTTATTTTATTTTATTTTATTTTATTTTATTTTATTTTATTTTATTTTATTTTATTTTATTTTATTTTATTTTATTATGTGTGCACATGGTGGAAAGTGCACAGGCATTCATAGAGGCCCAACATAAAGTCTTGGTGTTATTCCCAGGGGCTGTTTGTTTGTCACCTTTTATATCTTCTTTATGTTTTTTTTTTGGGGGGGGAGGGTTGGCTGGTTGGTTTTTGTTGATATTGTTGTTGTTTCTTTTGGTTTGGTTTTTCTAAATCAGTGTTTCTCACTGCCCAAAACTCACCAACTGGGCTAGGCTAGTTGGCTAGAGAACCCCAGGAAACTCCTTGTTGATGCCTCTCTAGTGCTAGGAGGAAAAGTGTGCGCCACCATACCCGGATTTTTTTTATGTGAGTTCAAAGGATCAAGCC